AAACTAAGGCTGACCATGGGCTGTGTGTTCAAGACAATGCCATTTATGATGCCCTATCCCCATTAAAATCGTATAGCTTATCCTACACATAGTGCTTATTGAAGATACATGATATTATATTTCATGTCACCGACAATAAAGCGCCCTTAATTTGGCATCAATTAACAAAAGATTGTTTGTTAATGAAACAACGTTTTCATCATCTTGTTCTTAACTATCTTCTATTCATAAAACCTGCATATACGCATAAAAATCGAGTCATTGGTAAGAAGTAAGTTTCAACGTTTACTCATGGATCCTAAGTCGTCTTTTCTTTAACACAGTCTTAGGATTGATATGTCTCGGAGCCACTTCATCTGATAGTGGTTGAAAATGACCCCAACAGTTCGCATAGATAAATGATAAGCCTTCAGATAGACCTTCATAAATATCAGACTAAATAGCTAAATGAGAGTTCAAAACCACAGATAGTAATGGATTTCACATCGAGATAAATACAACAAGGTCGGTCTACACAGATTGCTGCTTTCCCAATAACCAGCTTGAGCAGAATAACAAATTAGATGAAAATGAGAACTTTTGTTGTATCGGCGCAGGTGAAACTTAATAAGAATACAGCCAAGCTGTCTTAAACCATGCTGTTTTGCTTAATCCGGCCCCATTGTCCTTGCATCGTTTTATAAAGTAGTGATTGGTACTTTACTTTTATGGAACTGCGCTGTTTGCGAAATGGATAAATGGTTGAATGGTTACATTTAGTCGCCAGCTTCGGACCTATGCGAAATTCTGCTCACTCCATAAGTGATCCATTCTAGAGTGGATATGTATTTCTAAGCCAATTTTTTCATCGTAATTTCATCCGTCACCGGCTTAAATGTCTAAACTGTCGGCTTGCCAGACATCGGAACAGTGAGACGAGCCTCGCCCTTTATCATGGGCAGCATAATCGGCTCTGGCTGGAATGTTGGCTGGTGTCGGCGCTCCGATGACATGGTCATCTCATGTTTTGGGTTCAGTGAACGACGCTGCAGACTGCGCCAAAGAGAGCTGCCCTCTGCAATCGCCACCCTCGGCTCGTTCATGTAACCGAGACGATGTCGAGTCAGCGTGAATGCCGATGCCGGGGCTCGCGCCACCGGGTCGACCATGGTCATTTGATCCGTGACCGCGTTCGGTATCGCCATTTGAGCCTGTTGATGATCCAACTTGACTAGGCGCGAGAACGCGTAACGGGCCATTGCAAGTCGTTGGTTGATTCGGTTGATAAAAGCTTTGCCATACACTTCCTCATTGGAGAGATTGACACCGGCGGCTCCTGTACTGCTTAGGCCCGCGTGAAGTTTAGCTTCGTCCCTGGTGACAAGAAAAGCATTCCAAGGCGACCAGGGCTTATTGGTAATCCAACGAGTAAAACAAAGCTCTGCGATATCGTCAACACTCGACAGGACACTGCGTCGCTCCCAAATGTCCTCCACAAGGAATCGCATATCCTCAGCATTAATCAGCATGGCTAAGTTCGAATCAACCCGATACTGATAAGATAATTCTCTGATTAGACGAGCTTCATCAGCTGCCACATCCTCGGTCTCGTGTTGCTCGTGACGACGAAGAGCTTCTCGTTTTGCCTCTTTTTTCACCTGTTCCCGAGTCAGCGATGTCTTAGTTTCCTCCTCAAGGCGCAGCGCTCTTAAAATCCGCCTGTATGGCTCCATGTCGTGGCGCAGACGAGCCCGATTGTCTTGCCTACGACAGGTACTGCATGGCGCCATCGAAGTGGATCTGGCACTCAGTGGAAACTCACTGCACTTAAGGTAGCGCCGACATGACAGACAGTACGTCACATCCCCTCGAAACAGGGCCGCTGCACCTTCAACTGTGCCCGTAGGAACACTGAGATACTTTGCAATCTCAGGATTGTGAAGTGGTACCTTGGCGTATTGAACGAAACGATTTAACAAACGGCTTCGTAAACCAGTTAGTTGGGCGCTAGTGATGCCACGCATAATGAAGTCGGCTTCACGATCCACCAAGTCGGTAATCTCTTTGGTCAGAGAGTTCGAATGTTCACGAACCGTCTGTTTTACCGTCAAAAGTATGTCTAACCGCTCGTCCTGTGTCATACAGTCGAGCCGTAGGCTTTCGAAGATTTCCAGCAGTTCTCTGCCACGTAAGGTATGCTGAGTGTCCATTTCAATAGCCCGACCATCTTCGGCAGAGAACCACCGCTTTGGTTTGGCAGCTTTAGACAACAGGTTGAATTGACCCTTACATCGTCCACTTTCAGAAACGGCGATTTGATGTCTCGAAATGGCCGCGATCAACTCTGCCTCCTGAAATGACAGCAAATCGGTTAAACTTTTGGCAAAATGTAAAGACAAGAATTGTCACCATTTATAACCTGTTTTATTGGGAATGGAAAGTTGAACTTATGCCATTTAATAAAAAGGATGATATCCTTGCACCCTCAGCATCCACTAGGACGCACATATCAAACTTTTTTATAATCAAAGTCAACTGTTGTAATAACCTTAACTGGGTTAGTTTATCATTTTTTACAGGAATCAAAAACAGAATCCATGTGTTCATAATCAAATAAGCCGCATTATCTTCCTTCTACCTATTCTCGCGAAGTTTCAGTTCGGAAAATTTAGGCAAGACATACCTCTCTATTTATAAGTGACGCCCATACACGAAGTATAAAAAGTTTATATAAAAGGCAATTCTTTTCCACAGTTCACTTTATACAGATCGACAATCAGTTAATGATGCGCCAATTAACCATAAAAATCTCCTGACAATTTCGGATTCGCTTTTTTAAATGTGGAATACTGGTTAAAATATAATCAGCATTATAAATAATAAAATATTTCAATTAAAGCATAATTTACACACGAAGATTGGCTTTTACTAACTTATATTAAAATAAATAAGATCGTAAAAATAAAGTTTAAATAACACTATAAATTATTTGACCTGGTACTTGAATTCTTTCACCTAAGGCTCAACATTCTGAATGTCTACACTTAGTCGACGAGTCAGATGCTTAATTATAAAACATATTCGAATTCAGTAAGTAAGTGGAGAATGTAAAATGTCAGGCAATTAGAAATTTTAAATTAAGTCGAGTCTAACTTATCCCACCGTAAAAACAAATATTTTAATTGTTGGGGAGACTTTGCTTTCGTAGGATAATGCATGAAGAAGAGACTCGGAGGTCGATCTCAATAGAGGACGATGAGCGATTCGCTCCAGACAGCAACCGACGTTCAGGCTAGCGCAGTCCACGAGAAATCCTCCCTAGTTTCGGATGAAAACAGGTTCAACTTTTGTCCATAATGTGGTGGACATCATCAGAGCAGGAACTCATTCTTGCAAGTCTCACGTTGGCACCAGGCCAAGAAGACTATTCGGATCTACCTCACCTTTTATATATATTTATAATTAAAAAACGAAAGTGGATAGGCATAGATAGATATAGGACGTTTTGACTGAATAACTTTCCTATTGATCCTGCTAATTTTGCTCGAATGTGTGTGTTAAAGTCTATATGCAATAACAGTCTTGGATAAAAGCGATCAAAAAGTC